GGGGAGGGTTCACTTATCCACATTTACTCCAAAAGAATAATAAAGTAATACATCCCTAATACACCTATCTTTTCTCTTTCTGTCATTCCATTTCACATCGTCTGTCAATTCCTTTAGTATTCTGTCTTTGTTTACTTGTAATGCATGAGTAGCAACAAAATATGAATAAGACCTAAACAAAGATCATTATTCTCAAGGAAGTGATGCATCCAAATTTACAAGCTGATTGTCGAATCAGTTTTTTACAATAAAGTATAATTGATTTCCAGGTTTGGCCAATCCCTTGCGTCATTGGAGGAATGTTAGGAAACACCTTGGGAGTTTTCATATCTGGAATTATTTTCTACTGTACAAGTAAAACAGGGAGGAAAGATCTATAATAGACATTAAAGGGAAGGTACCTTTCCCAATGGGGGAAGGGCTGGGGAATTCCCAATAATTTTTTATGAATGGTTGAAGCCCTACCCTGATCACTCAATAAGTAAATTATGACCCTCAAATTAAGGTAACAAGAAAGCAGCTTTTGTCAAAATAAAATATTCAAATTTGTACTTAATGACCCTCCCCTCTTAGACCACCTGGCTGTATAAGGGAGAGTACAGTTTTTTCTGTGATTACTATTTCCCTCAGTAATAAAGAGTATCTATCTCTCTGTCTTCCCTCTCCCTCCCTCCGCAATACAAAAAGGTACCTTTCCTTAGGCATTTATATAGGCAGTTCTGTGTAAAATTGTGAAGCAGTTGGTAAGATATTTATTTGTAAAATAGATTACATAGCTTACTTTTTCTTAGCAACGAACGACAGTCCCCTTCACAGTTCCCTGTGCCATTTTGAAAGGTAAACGTGCCTGTGCACCATAGGCACAAAGGCGAATACCTTCCAATTATAGAGAAATTATATGTACAATATTATTGAAACTGCTTAAAAAAGTCTTTATCAAGGTCACCACCTTTCTACCTTTGATACAATTGGCACAATTTCCTTTTAAGACGGCACAAATAATATATCCTACAACTGACCAGTCCGTCATAATATCTAATATAATAGGAGATTATCTTTAAAACTAGTTATTTTTTAAAAGCATAATTTTAAGGATTAAATAAAATTATGAAGCATTTTGCATTCTTCAACAATAATTTGGATCTTTTCAAAAGGTTTGACAATGGTCCAAAATCCATCAAAACCATGGGCTATAGTCCATGCTTTTTSCCCRAAAATGGCCCAAAATCACGTATTTTGCATCCTTCATAAATGATGGATATTTTTTGAAAAGGTGTGAAAATGGTCCAAAATCCATCAAAACCATGGGCTATAGTCCATGCTTTTTGCCCAAAAATGGTCCAAAATCACTTATTTTGCAACCTACATCAATGATGGATATTTTTTGAAAAGGTGTGAAAATGGTCCAAAATCCATCAAAACCATGGGCTATAGTCCATGCTTTTTG